TCTGAGCCTCAGAGTTGCTCTAGGGTTACCGAGGACAGCGAAATGACCGAGCTTGAAGCGAAGTTCATTGAGGAAACTATTAAGTGGAAAGGGGTGAACCCGAACGTCAGGGGCCCAATACCGAAAGTGCCATATAGCCCGGAAGTTTTTAAGCGCATCGATCTGATGAACAAAATAATTCCAAGATATCCTGAAGATGATTCATCACTTGAGGATATTCACTGTGCTGTCTATTGTGCAGCCTCTACGATAGCGCACACCACCAGAGGGCCGAGTGTCACGTCAGGCGGTGCGCCCCGGAATGGAAATTTTGCCCCTAAGTGGCAGGTTAGAATAGGAAGAAACATCGAAAAACTGCGGCGGGAAATCGGCAGGGTCACCCAATTCGCCAAGGGGAACGCGTCCAAACGGCTGAAGTCTAGACTGATAGGAGTCCCATCAGAGGAGCGCAACCTGCAACTTCATCTCGACACTCTAAAGCAAAGGCTGAAAGTTCAAGCGGCTAGACCAAAAAGGTACAAAAAGTGTTACCAGCGCCGGAAAGATAACGAATTATTTCAGCGCAGTGAAAATGTCTTCTATCGAAAGTTGGAAAGCACTGGAAGCAATGAGCCCTTAGCTGAAGTACCATCTGAAGAAGATCTAGAGCGGTTTTGGCGGGATCTTTGGTCGAATGCGAAGTTTCATAACAACGAGGCACCGTGGATTCAGAACGAAGAAAATGCGTTTAACCACGTCCAGTATCCGGATGAATTTCAAATCACAGCTGCTGACATGAGAAGAGTCACATTTCGTTCCTTCAATTGGAAGGCTCCCGGTCCTGACCGAATTCAGAACTTCTGGCTGAAAAAGCTAACATGTGTACATGCTCACTTAGCTAAGTCCATCCAGGATGTTGTCACCGATCCAAATAAGATGCCAAAGTTCTTGACGGAAGGGGTCACGTATGCTAAGTACAAGTAATTCTGCAGGGAGGACTGCCTATGGTCTGGGGTATTGACGCACCTCCTTTCCCGAGTTACTCTGGACGCACACTCTATGTGCCAAGGAGTACTTAATGAAAAGCCCAACCCGGGGTGTTATGCGAACCGTGCCCATCGGGTCCCTTGGCACCAGGGCGTTTATGTTGGTGTCGACCTACGGAGCCCTGGGATACCAGGCGCCCTCCCAGAGTT